TGGCACAAAAACAGACACAAAGATCAATGGAACAGACACCTTTCCAAAGAAGGCATCCCGGTGGCTAACAGACACATGAAAAGATGCTCAACATCATTCATCACCAGGGAAATACCAGTTAAAATTACAGTGAGGTACCAGCTAATACCTGTTAGAATGTCTAAAATTAACAACTCAGGAAACAAGAGATGTTGGTGGGGATATGGGAATGCAAACTGGTGCAGCCACTCTGGAAAACAGTATGGAGATTCCTCAAAAAAATAAAAATAATGTTACCCTATGACCCAGCAATTGCACTATTACATATTTATCCAAAGGATACAGGAGGGCTGATTTGAATGGGCACATGCACCCCAATGTTAATAGCAGCACTATGGACAATAGCCAAAGTATGGAAGAGCCCAAATGTCCATTGACTGATGAATGGATAAAGAAGATATGATGTGTGTGTGTGTGTGTGTGTGTGTGTGTGTGTGTGTTGGAATATATTTACTTGGCAATCAAAAAGAATGGAATCTTGCCATTTGCAACATGGATGGAACTAGAATGTATTACGCTAAGTGAAATAAGTCACTCAGAGAAAGACAAATACCATACGATTTCACTCGTATGTGAAATTTAAGAAACACAACAGATGAACATAGGGGAAGTGAAGGAAAAATAAGATAAAAACAGAAAAGGAGGCAGTAAGAGACTCTTTTTTTTTAATATTTTTTTAAATGTTTTATTTATTGCTAGGAGAGAGAGAGACAGCGTGAGCAGCGGAGGGTCAGAGAGAGAGGGAGTCACAGACTGAAACAGGCTCCAGGCTCTGAGCTGGCAGTCAGCACAGAGCCCGACGCGGGGCTCGAACCCACGAACTGCGAGATCATGACCTAAGCGAAAGTCGGACTCTTAACCGACTAAGCCACCCAGGCGCCCCAATAAGAGACTCTTAAATACAGAATACAAACTGAGGGTTGCTGGAGGGGTATTGGGTGGGGGTGTGGGCTAAATGGGTGATGGGCATTAAGGGGAGTACTTGTTGGGATGAGCATTGGGTGTTATGTGTAAGTGATGAAACACTAAATTCTATACCTGAAACCATTATTATACTACATGTTAATTAACTTGGATTTAAACAAAATTTTTTTAAAAGGTGATGAGAAAATTTTTTTTATTTTTGATTATGACAGGTTAACAGATCCTCCCCTTTTCCTACTGTCAAACCCCTTCCCAACCCTCTAGATCTTCCCATTTCCTGAAATACCAGGAAGTATTCTCACCTCCCAAGTAGGGATATAGATTTAATTAAGAGACTGCTTAGCAAGCAGGAAGCATCCAGACAAGGTATAAACAAAGGATGTGCCTCCTAAATAGCCATTGGTCCCTCCACCCCTCCTCCGTTTTGCAAAGATGTCTTTGTGTCTTTCTTTAACCCAATTGTCCCCCTAAATGGAGAAACCTTTTGAATTCACTGGCTGAACTCCCCTCTAGAACCACCATTGACTGCACATTCTCTGGGCTCCTTTGTAGCTTACCCCTTCCTCAGCAACATGTCAAGCCTTGAGGAAAGAGGTCAAGAACGCCTTTAAGTATTTATCTCAGCCGAAATGCAAGCTCTTTACAACTGTCATCCCCAGGTTTCCACACTTGGCCTGTTCCATCTCCTCCTTGAAAGGTCTTCCTCCCATGGGGCCCCTTTCTATAGTTTTCCTCCCCAACTGAGGCTCATCTTCTTTCACTGAGACTCTTTATTGACACAAGATGGGTCACAAGATGGGTCCTTCGTTGGGGGCGGGGGGGACCTCAGGAGAGTCAAGTCTTTCCAAGATTATACTGCCTGGAATCTGGAAGCATTCAAGATTTATTGATGAAGTTGAGAGGAAAAAAAGAGTAACAGAAGAAGGAAGGAAGGAGGAAGAGAGGGAAAGAAGAGAAGAAGGGAACCTTTTCCATTTTTGCAACGAGGTAGACAATTTATTTCAGTTCAATATTGGTCCTCAGTCTTGTTTGTTTTTTTAAACCTTTTCTTCCTTTTCTTCTCCTTTGCCCTTCCCTCCATGACTTTTTTCTTTTCTCATCAGTCACTGCCAAGCTCTCTTATGGTCTCTCTTCCCAGCCAGTCTGTCTCAACAATAACAGCAGCCATTTATAAAGCTCCGTGCCAGTGGATTATGTTTGCTACCTCATAGGTCCTTGATTCGGTACTCTGAGATAGGTATTCTCCCCATTTTACAGACAGAAGCTGAGGCTACTGAAGGTAGAGCTAAGATGTGACCCTAGGTTTATCCAGTACCAGCGCCTCAGTGCTTAGATTTACTTTACTTCCGTAGACTGCCCAGTGGGGCCACATTCACACCCGCCACCTTGGCCTGACCGTCTGCTTGGACTCACCATCCTGCCCTTTCCCATTCCCATTCTGAAATGGAATCAACACAAGAAAAGTCAAGGTAAGTGTTTGATTAATTAATTAATTTATTTATTTATTGGCAAAATAGTGCTGTGGCTCCCTCCAATGTCACCTCCGAGCAACTAATAGGTTTTTTGAGTATTTTTTTTTTTTATGGTGTGTTTGCTTTGCTGTTGCTGTTTTGAACTTCAAGATTTTAACACATTCATTCTGCTTCAAATTCCTGCAGTCATTATTGATTTCATTATTGATTGATATTCAAACTCTTCCATTTTTGGCCATGGTAACCTTTTCAAATTGACTCTGGGGTTCTTCCAATAGAACCTGGTAGTTTTTGATGGCTTCCTTGCTTTCAGGCTGGGACAAGACGTCCCAAACTCATCTTGTACATTTCCTTCCCTTAGAACTAAAGGATCTTTGATTCCTCTAATCATTGCAACAACATAGATGGAACTAGAATGTATTACGCTAAGTGAAATAAGTCAGTCAGAGAAAGACAAATATCATATGATTTCACTCAAATGTGAAATTTAAGAAACACTAGGTTCATCTGTTGTGTCAGACTATAGTCTCATATTTAGAGATTATAGTCTCATATTTAGAGACTATAAACTGGGGGGCAGAAGTATACATTGCTGCTGGGGTTGGTCTTTTTGATGTTGCTGCTGTTACTGACATGAGAAGCAGTCAGATTCATTAGTTTCAGCTTTATTTGCATATTTTAGAGATCCTTTTGATTTCTTTTTCTTTTTTTCCTTTTGTTTGTAAAAAATGTAAAGTGTCTACATTCTCTGGTTAAAACTATAAAACAAGATATATTAAAAAAACCTATGTTTCTTGCTTTTTTTTTTTGTCCCTCCTGTTTGATCCCTCCTCTTATAGGTAAGCAATTTGTATTTGGTTTATCCTGTTTTTCTTACTTGAAAATCAAGTAAATATGTATATCTATTTATCACTTTCTCATACATATATATTTACACAAAATATAACATATGGCACATTCTCCTCTATACTTCTGAACATGTTTCTCATATCCATAACCAAACACTGGATGAAAAAAGCAAAGAACTGTTGTCTTGGAATTGACCTCATTGCTTTATATAGTGCTCTCACACTGCTATTCTAGGGCACGAGGTACCTTGGGATAAAGGAGAAAGGGGGTGGCTGAACAGGGTGACTCTGGGGCCACCATTATCACTTCAACCACAGCAGCCACATTCCTGTTTCACATATTTGACATTCCTATCAAATTTGATAGGCATTCTTATCAAATTTGGTCTGAAAAAACAGTCTCCACCTTTTTTGGAAAAATCCGAGGAGAAAATGGTCACAAGCTAAGTATCAACCCCAACTCACTGACCCTGATTTCTGAGAGGCTGTGCAGAGAGCACAGGCATCATGTTAATTTTACTAGGCTTGCATCATCTTACTGTCTAGGGTTGCCTAAGCTTGAGCCCCAAGAAAACCCTGGTGGGAAGAGAAACACTCATCTGTTCAACCACTGGATAAATCATCTCATCCACATTGTCATTTGAGGGAATCTATTTTGCATAGTTATGCAACATCTTTTGCTCTAAGGAAGGGAACAAGAAAACACAAAGGCAGTTGAAGAGGCTGCTAGAATTTAAAGAAAAGTGTCCTGTTGCCTTGAGTGTATAAAATTAAAAGTGCTTTCCAGGTAGGTTACTGAATTAGCTCAAGAACTGGCAGCCCATGAAAGATAGGCTTGCAGCCTGACTCTTTTATACTATACGCCATACCTTCCTCTTCCACCCGTGAACTCCATGCATATGCAGACTTAACCCCCACGCATTGGCAGGTCTCACTGGACATGTCATAGCTGTACCACTGGCGCCTGACACAATGTCCAGTGCTTAGTAGGTGCTCAATAAATACATTTGGAATGGATGAATGAATGTAAATATTTATCCTCAGGAACCCATCCGAAAGGGGTCATAAATTTGGCTCATCACTGTTAAAGGATTGTTGCTGTGGGTAGGATTGTGTCCCCCGCTCCTCCGCAAATTATATGTTAAAGCTCTAACCGCCCCCAGTACCTCAGAATGTGACTATGTTTGGAAAGAGGGTCTTTAAAGAGATGATTAAAGTAAAATGAAGTCAGTTGGGTGGGCCCTAATCCAGCAGGATGAGTGATCATAAGGAAGGTGGGCCAGAGACATGCACGCACACAGAAGAAAGGCCATGTGAGCATACAGCGGGAAGGCGGCCATCTACAAGCCCAGGAAGGAGATCTCAGAAGAAACCAAACCTGCCGACACTTTGATCTTGGACTTGCAGCCTCCAGGAACATAGGAAAATAAATCTGTCGGTTAAGCTGGCCAGTCTGTGGTGTATTATTACAGCTCTAGCAAATCCATACAATTGTCAATCTCTGTCCCAGACCATGGCAGAAGCGATGCCAAAGAAACATTTTTTTATGGTTAGCGTTTCCCATTCTCATATCATATAAGCCAGAAGAACATTGGCCTGAGTATGTGTTTCATGGTGCTTTGAAATCCAAAGTGTATCTATGTGACTGGCCTCGGTGTAAGAAAGCCCTTTGTGAGGTCATCACGGCACTCTTGCTAGATCTGCACAGATGGAGATATGCAAGCTTTGAAGAACACTTGAGGAGACACCATGCCTCACTTTGCAAACCCTCTTTTAAGAAACATCATTACCAGAAATCCATTTGATAACATCAAGAGGAAGCAATGCCTCCAATATTTGAAAACCCTGAAAACCCTGCAATATGATGGATTTAAGACCATATATTTTGGAGAAACCAATATTGCTGAAAGTCTTGTAACTGGAGAAGATTTTAGTCATCGGTATTTCATGCAAACTCCAACTTGGTGTATTGTGCATGCCGGTGGTAGTCAAGGATGGGTGCCTTGGAAATATCGGATGTTCCTTAGGGATGAGTTATGCATCAAACAGGAAGAAACCCTCTTCTTTGAGTTCTGTGATGTGGCAAGGAAGGCCTATGGGAAGTGCGCCATTGTGGTCAAAGAGAGAAGGCAGCAAGGCAAGATGAAGCCCGAGGAAGAGCCAGAGCCTGAGGCCCAGATCCATGCCCCATCAGTCATTAACTTAACGAGCCTCGTGTGTTGCCCTGAGGTAGCCAAGTCCTATGGCCATAAACTAATCTCTCTGCCTTCGCTTTACAATTACCTAAACCCTTTAGACTCAGCCTGGTCTTCTCTGAAATGGTTTATCATCAATAACAGAAAGGAGTTTTCTTTGCAGTACATTGACAGCGTTTATTCTTACCAGTATATACTTCTCATCGATTTAATTAGCAAAGGGATTAAAAGGATAAACCCAAGCAAATGGAAAATACTAACCAACAAAGTGCAGAGATGGGAAAACTACTATCTTGGTAAATTTCCTTAAGGGTGATTCCTCTAACAAGCAGTTGGGACCATGCTACGGGCAGAGTCTTTACCATCTTTACTAACTCTGCTAGGCTCGACTCTGGACCACCACAGCCAAAAATACTCCACCAGCGACCTCACGGGGATGCTGTGAGGTCTGAGATTTCTAAGGGTGTTGGCAAAGTGCTTTAGGTTTACTGGAGATTCCATTAAAGCTTGTTGGTAAATTAGGGATCTCGACTCCCATCATGTTAAGGCCATCTTGAGGGCTGTGTCAGTGCAAGGATGACAACTAAGCCAGCCCAAGGGAGCTTGATGGTAAGCAGGGGTGAGCAGAGCTGAGGGTTGTATAGTCAAAACTTTTAGGTCAGAAAGAAAAGGAACTAAGTGTGTGGTCACAAAACGGTTGAAATAGTGTGCCAACCAGTTTGAGCCAACCCAAATAACATATAGGGAGCCCATTTGCCATCAGCAGGAGATGTGGTCCGGATAGTGCCTGAACAGGCTCTTTGCTTCCCATTGCTTGAAAAAAAGGTGTCAGAGGTTGAGTGAGAGACAAGGAGGTTCCAAGGAGGTGAACACATTCAGATGCTCCAAGACAAGTTGGTGGTCCCAGTAAGGCACCTGGAAAGCTGTAACAGGGGTTGATTCAACTGGGAGTTGATGGGTGAACAGGTGAAGAGGGGTCTGTAGAACCTATTAATCCAATCTTTCATCCCAACTCCAAGAATCCAACCAATCATTAGATTTTTTTTTAATGTTTTAGTTTATTTGAGAGAGAGAGAGAGAAACAGAGCATGAGCAGGGGAGGGGCACAGAGTAGACAGAGACACAGAATCCGAAGTAGGCTCCAGGCTCTGAGCTGTCAGCACAGAGCCTGATGCAGGACTCGAACCCACAAACCATGGGATCATGACCTGAGCTGAAGTCAGACGCTTAACTTCCCAAGCCCCCTAGGCGCCCCTAGATTTTGCCATGGAGTTGCATCTTGGGCCCCAATAGCTGAGGCACCTGTGGCTGGTGCTGTAGTACCCGACTCAGGTTTAAGGTGGTGCTGATGTCGGTTGTAAGGATTTGTGGTGGTGTTTTTCACTTTTATAGAAAAAGACCTGCTTCCATTAAATGTATTATAAATTTCACTCCCGTTTATATATGTTCAGGCCGTAATTTTATAACAGACATAATTATTCCAGAGTGTGTCAAAACAACTTATGAAAATTTCTACCGAACTCCCAACAGAATTACCTATATATAAGATTATGAAGTCATGTTCTCTGGTAGCCAATTGCAGAAAAAAATCAGATTATTTGCTTGTCTTCCTGTCCTGTTTCCCTCTGGAACCTCCCTGGATTATCCAGAAATACTTGGTCAGATTGGGGTACCTGGGTGTTTTAGTTGGTTAATTGTCTGACTCTTGATTTTGGCTCAGGTCATAATCTCACGGTTTGTGAGATGGAGCCCTGCGTCAGGCTCTACCTGCTTGGGATTCTTTCTCTTCCTGTCTCTCTGCCCTTCCTCCATTCACACTCACCCTCTCAAAATAAGTAAATAAAAAAAAAAAGAAATACTTGGTCAGATGAAAATAAATGTCCAGTGCTTTTCAGCAGTTAAGTGGTGGCCTTCTGCATCATTTTGTTATTAGGCATTTATTTTATCTGGGGATGAACCAATTGCATCTGCAATCTCCAACCACTCAGAACGAGGCAATATCCCACTTCATGGCCAACGAGCTGTGTGTGTTTCCTGTGGCTACTGTAACAAATTACCGCAAACTTGGTGGCCCCAAACAACAAACACTTACTGTTTCTCAGTTCGGGAAGCCAGAAATCTGAAATCAGTTCACTCAGTCAAAACCAAGGTGTTGGAAGGTCCACACTTCCTCCAGAGGCTCTGAGAGACCATCGTTCCTTGCTCTCCAGGCTTCCGGTGGCTGCAGGCATTCCTTGGTTGGACTTGACCACATCAGTCCAGTCCCTGTTTCTGTGACCGCATTCCCTTCTCCCGTGTCTGACTCCCTCGGCCTCCCTCTTGTAAGAACAATCATGATGGCACTTAAGACCCCTGTGGGTAATCCAGAATCATCTCAAAATCATTGAATTAATCCCATGTGCAGAGATTCTTTTTCCATAGAAGGTAATTTTCCCACGTGCCAGGGATTGGAAATGGCAGACCTTTGGGCACCATTATTCAGCTGACCACAGATGCTAGTAGAAGTCTTCTGCCTACTGAAACACGGCATTCCCCAATGACCATTAACTTGGTGAAACCACTCTCAAGTGTGGTACGTTTCTGTGGTCTTTTCTGCTACCTGTTTCAAATATGTTTTAGAATTTAGGTTCTGTGAGAGCAAGTGATTAGACTCCAACCTCCTTGGTGATGTCAGCGCACTGGCACTGAGCAGGCCCAACATAGCTGGCCTGGGGTTGGGGGTATGAGTGCGTTTTGCCCCCGATCACGCTTAATACACATCTACTGAGAGTTCTGTGTAGTAATAAGCATTAAGAGCTACACATCCTAAACTCATTTAGACCCCACAACATTCCGTGATAGCGAAACAAGTAGCATCTCTATTTTTCAGATGGGGTAAACTGAGGCACAGAGAAATCATGTAACTTGCTCTGGGGTGGAGGAGTGAAGGTTTAAATCCAGAGTTCATGGGGTACCTGGGTGGCTCAGTCGGTTAAGCATCTCTTCTCAGCTCAGGTCATGATCTGACAGTTTGTGAGTTCGAGCCCCATGTTGGGCTGTGCTGACAGCTCAGAGCCAGGAGCCTGCTTCAGATCCCATGTCTCCCTCTCGCTCTGCCCACTGCCCTGCTCATGCTCTCTCACTCAGTCTCTCAAAAATAAATAAATGTAAAAAAATTTTTTAAATTCAAATCCAGAGTTCACGCACATGGCCGTTATTCACACTGCCTACTACTACTGGGCAGTTTATTTGATCCCATAATGACCCGGTCAGGTAGGTTCTACCATTTCCCCACTTTACAGGTGAGGAAACATGTTTTGAAATCAGAGTCTAACCCACATGCCTAACCACCATATCTGGCTTTGTTCCTGGAGCCCAGCGTTTTTTTTTCCCTCCCACAATTCACATGGCCAAAGGCTCGCCTCTGACAATGGACCAAACACCGGCTGACAAAGAAATCACCTCCAAGTGGACACCACAACAAAAAGATATTTCAACACAAGATTGAGAAAGAAGCAGAATGCCTTGCAAAAGCACATTATTTTGCAGTGAGGGGGAAAATGGAAGACTTTTAAGGTTCGCAGACAAGCAAGGTAAACCAACAGGAGCCATTTTTGTTGAAAGACCAAAAGGATCTGATAAGATGAGTTTGGAGTCCCCTTCCCTTGAGACCTTGTTTAATCATTAGGAAGGCACTTAGGGGAGAGAGACATCAGTATAACCAGAGAGAGCAAAAGGACCCCCTTTAGTATCCAATTTAGTTACATAAAACTGGATGCATAATTAAGAAATGCTGCGTGATCCTAAGCATGGAAACTTCCATCAAAAAGCAATGGAAAGTAAGCTCAGCTTTGGGAATTGGATAGATCTAGGTGGAATCTCAAGTTTCCAGCTTATTAACTATGAGACTTTGGACAAGTTCCTTCACCTCCCTGAGGCTCAGTTAACTCATTAGTGAATTAGGGTTGAGGGCTTTAAAGCTCTTAGTGCAACCCATGTCACTACGCTGTGTCTGGCACCTCCTAAGTGCCCCATATTATTATGGTTATTACGGTTATTACGGTTCCGGCTGAGGGCCAGCAAGTATGTCCACAGTTAGACCTGATTTCCTTTTCACTCTTTGGGGGAAATTCTTGCTGCTTTTTATCACCAGGGCATAATGAAAGTAGACACATCTTAAGATACTTTGATCAAAGGAACTTTGTTCTCTGGCATTTCTTTCAAGACCATCTGTGATAGGTTAGGCAGCTGATGATAATAAAAGGCTTCTTCTGATGGGGAAGACAGGGAGGATTCTTCAAGAATCTTCGAGACCAACCGTGTGCTATGCCTGTATGAAACAAACAGTAGGTAATGAGGCACAGCAATCCTGTGTGTGTGGACAAGTCCTCTGGAAGAGACCTCATGATGTGTCAGTGTCTTCCTAAGAGGTTGGCTGGTGAGATATCCCATCCTCTCCGGCCCTTACCGTCACCAACAACTATATCCCCACTCTGTCTCCATGGACTGCGGTGACTCCCAAGGAGGTGGAGTGTTGGGATAGTCTGTCCTAAAATGAGCCCAAAAGTAAATAGGCAAATGGAGCTAGAGCACAGTGGAGCACAGTGTGGGTACACACTCCTTCTGTCTGTGTTTGGTTTATACATACAAACCATTTTTACATACTTGACCTCATTGAGTTTAGACAGTCACCCTGTATATAGGCAGGGAAGTGGTCATTAAACTCACTTGCAAATGAAGACAAGTCCAGGCAGTAACTGACACACGTAGGGACATGCACATCTGTAGTGACAGGAAGGTCAGAACCAGAATCCACATCTTCTTATCAAGTAATCTTCACACCTGTCACTAGCAGGCTTCATGGGTTGGTTAAGATTAGGTCATGCTGTGAGTAGTGGAGACCTAATCCACAGAGACTTAAAATAAAAGGTACTTTAAGGTGCTCCTGGGTGGCTCAGTCGGTTAAGCGTCTGGCTTTTGATTTTGGCTCAGGCCATGATCTCACAGTTCATGGGACCAAGTTCTGCGTTAGGCTCTGTGCTGGCAGTGCGGAGCATGCTTGGGATTCTCTCTCTCCCTCCTCCTCTAACCCTCCCTTGCTCATGCATTCTCTCTCTCAAAAAATAAATAAAATTTAAAAAAATTTAAAGAAGGTACCCCACCTTCACCACAAAAAATCAAGAAGGACCAAGGTGGCAGTTCAGGGTGAATATGATGGATCCATGGTCATCAAGAACCCAGGGTCCTTCCATTGCCCTAACATAGTTCCATTGCATCATCCCCAATGGCTGCCGAACAAGCCATTGCATTAGCACCCCAGGTAGCAAAAGACACAGGGAAGAAGAAGAGTTCATCTCTTCCCTTTTAATGGGCCTTCTAGGAGGTTTCACACACTTCTACTTAAATCTCATTGGCAAGACTTAGTCGCAAGGGAAACTGGGAAATGTAGTCTTTTATTTGGGGAGGCCATGTGGGTGGCATAACAGGAGTCATTACTAAGGAGAAGGTTGGCAACTAGCAGCCTTGGCCACGTTCCCTGCTCCC